AAATTGCCAATCAATATATGAAAAGTGATCAAGACCACTAGATGAAAAAAATTAAAACATTCATAAGATAGCATTTTTTGTAACGTTCAAAATGGCAAAGATTCCAATAATCACGATGCCAAGCGTCAGCTAGGGTACTTGAAAACTCTCATATATTGTACCCGGGAATAATAAATTTTAAACCAGTGTGAATATAAATATGAACACTTTCTGGGGAGATATTTGGAAATACAAATAAAACATCTTTAAAGGTACCATTTCACTGCTTTTTTTCAGAAGCAACTTAGATTTCATTCAGGCTTCCCACACTTTTAGGATGTGGGGACTTAGAAAAGGCCAAAAGAGTCAAATCATCGACTTCTCTTTATCCTGCATTCTATGCAGAGGCATAGACTTATTTACTGGCTGTTTCTTCTGAGTTGTATTTTTTTTAAACAATGACTCTAGGTACAGACATCTGGTTTGTCAATGATTGTGATTTCCTTTGAGTCAGTGCAGTGTTGACTGCCTAAAACTAGTTGCTACACTTACACTCCTCATGAAAATCTTTTTGAAAATTTGAGGCAAATCAGAAAGAAACAAAATAACTGGCCTATCCCAACCACTGAATGACCCGCTAAGGTATTTACAGGGACCTTTTGCAGATGAAACAAATGTGGTTAATATGTGTAAGTGGCACTTTCCTCTTTTAACACTTGACTAATGATTGTTTCATTATTCCTTAGTGGGAGTAATCCAGGACCTTAAATTGATAATTTTGTGAAAAAAAGGTATGCATTAAATGCGGTTTTTAAGATATATTCAGTTGCTCGAATTATTGAATTGTTGATAAATAAATTACCCTGCTCTCTAATGAGTGCCATAAATAACGACTATTAAAGAAAAACTTCACAACATAAAGTTCTCAAAATTAAATCTGTAAAAGCTATTGTCTTCAAAGACAGACAAAAGTAATTTATAATCACTTTATTTATTTTTCAAAATACATATGAAACAGTAAAATTATATTTCAAGTGCTTTTCCATTTTCTTTTACAAAAGTAATCATAAACTGTACACTTCATAACAGCATTGAGGTTTCATTGTTACATAATTCATCTGAACCTGACAAATATGTTCACACGTTCTAAAGAAGACATTGTAAAAATACTGAAATGTGTAACATCTTTTAAAGGTGGCTGCAAAACATTTGTTCTAAGTAATACAATTATATGCTGTCAAGTTTCACAAATGGCTGGTTACCATGTACAAAAGCCAGAAACACGAATTTCAAAAGATTGTAAAACTTTTGTTCTATAATACGGAAGTCAAAGATATTGATTTGAACAATGGCTATGTATTACATCACAAACTTCATTCAAAAAGTCACCTTATGAACAATGACCGAAGGATACAAAAGAAGATCGAATATGATGGATCCAAATTATTCAATATCATGTATGAAATGAAAAATTTTGGTGGTTTCTGCCAGTTTAGAACAATTGGCAAATATCTTGGACTACTTGTTAGCGGAATCACCACATTTACAGTGTGAGGCTGTTCTTTTCTATCTTGTCTTCTTCATTCTGAAATGAAAGTCTTGCTTCATGGTGTCCATAATTTATCCACATTTTGCAGGTGGACCCGATCACTTCTCTCAGTTGGAAGGGTCAATAAGAAGTTAATGTGAATGACTTGAACTTGGATTGGACTTTTGGTTTTTAAAAAACTATAAATCAAATATTTTGTATATTAGAGTTGGTATACCTGCTTCTTTCTTATAATTTATGAAGCTATTCACACTGGAGATTACTGTGTTTTTTACATGAGAGGCTTAAATGGCCTTTCCAAAGAAAAAATAAAAAAATAATAAAACCCACAAAACAATCTATATAGACATAAATAGAATAAACCATGCAATTTTTATAGAGAATGATTCTGTGACCATTTTGTATACAGCCTTAGGGATTTTAGCTTTTTATTTTGGTTCACAAACTTTATTCTACAGCAAAATCATAACCAGACATAATTCCCTGTGTTGATGTTCAGACTGGGAAAATAAAAACCAATTTTGAAAGAGATAACAAAAACAAAAATCCACTGCATTAAGCTTCCAACATTGAGACTTAACTTCTCTTAATTTTTGACCCATTTTTATAATATGCATTGTTATCCAATAAATTGTTCTTGAGGGAACAAAAACATGAAATTGAATAATTGAAGTCCACCACCCTGTACAGTAAATGAGGATTCTGTGCACAGCAGATGCAAATCACAACAAAATTTCCAAAGAAATGGCCAATTTTTACCCTTTCATGACAAGATCAGGCATGATTTTCTCTCTGGAGAGGGCTCTCATGACACAAGTGAGCTTAGAAAAAATTATTGCCAGTTTGAGATGGAAACATTTCCATATAAATACCTTCTGCATCGCTAGCTCTATCAATAGCAAGTCACTTCCGGTGTCTCAGTATAGACAAAAAATAGGATTATCAATTCTTCCCTGCAGGAGTTTATTTAAATCATTTCAGGCATGAAGCAGCTTATCTTTTCTCTTAAACATCTTATTTTTTCAATCACCATTTCTAGCATTCAAAATGTTTGCATTCAATAAATCCTTAAGTCCCACCTCAGCTCTTAATTTAGAGCTTTCTTTTTGAAGTCTCTATAACATGATAGAGACTTTTTAGGTCATCAAGTCAAACCCTGCTTACCTAGCTTCATGATGAACAGGGTGAAAAGGAAAACAAGGTTTTACTTTGATGAGAAAACACTTGAACTGAATATTAGTTAACTGCCACTGTTCAAATATACATCTTTTTGTTTAACTGTTAATGGCAGATGACAAATATTACCAAGGCATCTTTTATTAAATTACCATTCACTTTAATTAACACAAGATGGAATCAAAGTAGGAAAAGTCTTCTAATGAAATAGGAAATTCTTACCTTAAAGAGTTCACTGAATAACACATTGGAAACAGCATTTAGTTTAATTAGCTCTATTTCCCATGTAAAATATAAACTCACTATTTTCTTTTAAATAATGGGTTTTAATAGGTTCAGATGAATCTTATCCTGAGCCATGTCATTGGGTAAGTACTAAAATGCTGTGTCATGGGTTCTTTATTAGAGAATTTAGTTTCCACTAAAAGTTAAAACACAAAGGAGTTCTTTTTAAATTTTGCATCCAATATCTGTATTTCCATATGTTTTAACATCTCTTTTTGACTACCATTTAGTTACGTAGATTCTTACTTTAAATTATTTTACTTTTCTGTGTTTTTGTATCATTTCTTATTGGCAGCAATAAATTCTTAGCCTAAAAGCTATAGAAGTTTAGATCAATTTAAGTACATCAGGACAACCAGAGTTGCTTTAAGACCAAATTGTGAAGGAAACAGGTCTCCAAATTTTCTTTAGATTTAGTAGAGGTTGAATGACTTTCTTAAATCCTTATCAACTTTAGCTTTTTTTTTTTTTAAATAATCAAGTAATTAAATTACCTGGTCTTAATTGCAACTAAGGTGGCAAGAAATATCAGCTGGAGCTCCCTGAAAACAGACGTTCTGAGATAATATCAAGTGTTCTTTTTAAAGGAGTAAAGAAATGCTCATACGTTCGATGTTGAGATTTTGTGTCCTTTTATTTGTAATAGTCTTTGGCTCTTTTGCTAACTCATTCTGAAATACGTTACATTTTGTTTTATGAATGGTGAAAGTTGAGAAAGGAGTGGAAGTTTGGCTTTTTCATTTTTGAAGTGATTAATCATTAAATAAAAGCCTTATGAAATGGATACTCCTTTATGGAGTCTGCAAAGTTTAAAATAATAAATATTTTAGGAGAATAAACACAGGTGAAAATGTCAGTTAAATATCACAACCAAACAGGTTCAAATATATTTGCTTTTATCGAAAACCTGAGCGAGTATTGATGGGTCTGGTCTCCCTGCAGTAACTGGAACACACACACGCTCCCCAAAACTGTGTGGGGAAGGGTGCGCTCGCCTCTGGGTGCCCATCTCTAGTTCCCTGACATAGTCCTCATGATATCTTTTACGGGACTGTGAAAATCACGAGTTTTGCATGTAAAGTTAAGTACCAGAAACAGGGCTGGCCTGACAAAGAAAATTAAAATGGTCAAGAAAAATACTAGTCAGAAACCAGTGTAAAAACAGCATCAACCGTTCAGATTTTTGTGAGAAGATGATATACTTCACAAACACAAATGTTCTTTCTAAATTCAGTTTCCTCATTCCCCTGATTACTTAGTGAATCGTGTAAAATAAAAATGTTAATTAATTAATTAATTAAAAAACCCAAAAGAACACCAGTGTTATTATGCTAATGAGTCAACACTGGCTCCTTTTTCCTAGACTAATGTTTGGCAAGTCCCTGGATAAGTCCCTGAAATTAGGTATTCACTAGATACCTAAGCTGCGACTTCATGATGTGCCAGTGCTGTCATTAAAATGTGGTGTCCCACACAATGAATGGAGGAGATCTATAACATTAAACCTTATTTTAAAGACTGAAGTAAAAACATTCCACCTTCAATCACAAGTAGAAAGAGGATCAGTCATGCTTGTATGGATGTGTGGCTGTGTAGAGTGAGGGTGTGTTGTACTGAAAGTGGTAGGATTCCCTTTTTATAACATGAACTATTGTTTTAAATCATCATGCTTTATCAATATGAAGGTAAATGTCCCTCATGTATTGCATGAAAGATGAGTGGTGGTGAATTTTCTCTCCTTGATCTCTCTCACAGGATTAACAAATACTCTTGTGTAATGAGTTTATTCTAATCCCTAGGAAACTTTTTTTTTTTTTGAGGAAGATTAGCCCTGAGCTAACATCTGCTGCCAGTCTTCCTCTTTTTGCTGAGGAAGACTGGCCCTGAGCTTATATCCCTGCCCATCTTCCTCTACTTTATATGTGGGACACCTGCCACAGCATGGCATGCCTAGTGGTGCAATGTCCACACCCGGGATCAGAATCGGCGACCCCTGGGCCGCTGAATCGGAACATGTGAAGTCAACTGCTGTGCCACCGGTCAGGCCCCCCTGGGAAACATTTTTAAAAAATTACCTTAAAAACTTACTTTAATCTACAATCCCCGTATTAAAATCTCCTGGCTGGCTAGTCATTGCATTTTTTCATCACATATTGGCTTTTTCTCCATAGGAGGCAAAGAAAACACGAGGTTCTAAGAATGAATAAAAAGTCCTTAAAATATGTTTTCAGGTGAAAATAATTATTATACTCACTTAGGAAACATAGTTGCTAATGAAATATAACCTGCAGCTATATCTACTAATAAAACAATTGACTCCAATAATGCCATTTTATTAAGAGTATAACTTTTGTCTTCCCATTTGACAATTTTTATTTCCCAGTAAAACAAAGAATTCCAAAATAGAAGTGTTATCTGAAGTCACTCTGTCTACAGTAAATGGTTCTTCTAGGCTTGATAAGGTAGCCAGGTATTTTCAAACAGTTTTCTTCTATTATTTTTAAATTAGAAAATGTTAGCTAGAAATACTTGTTTTCATTAGGATGGTACAAGCATTTTTGAAAAATTTTAGGGAATTGTGTTGCTTTTAAAATATTAATGTGGAAAATATTTACATCTTAATTAACAGTAATGCCATCATTATGAGAGAGGCCAGCAAACTAAATGTCAAGGCTTTTAAAACGTTTTTTTTTAATATTTAGAAATAAGAGATATTACTAAAATCAAAATTTTATAATTGTTGATAAAATTTTCTCATTCTGATGAATGTGTTTTTATAGTCTAAGTGCATATTTTCTTGCCTTTCTTTGGTTCTTTTAACCTCTTATCTTGGAATAAGCTTGAAATATGCACTATCCATAATACACATCTCAAAAGTAAGGTTGGGGTCATTCAATATAGTTTAGATATAGATATAGGGCCCGGAAATGAGACAATAAAAAGTTCACCTGATTTAAAAGAAAGTTCCGTCATGTAAAAACATTTGCATAGTTTTTAGGACTAGCGGCCTGATCCTTGATCCTTATGAAGGGAAATGCCTTTCATGAAAGGACTGTGGGTCTGGGCCTTTAGAATTCTTTGTTTATTTTTATTAAATGTTGAAGTTATATTATTTATGGTATATTTCTATAATTTGCTGAAAAATAAGTCATCCTTTCTTGAAGAAAATACCTAATTCTAATGATTAACTTCTGATTTGGTTTAAAGGTCACCATTACTGTGTACAATCTAAATGACAATGAGCACAGACATTTATTGTACCTTTGGTGTCTATTAGTATCATCTATCAGAAATACAAGATCTACGTCATAGCTTCATGTCACAAAATATATGCCACAGTACTTAACCTTACGAACACTTAAAAAAATGAATGACTTCTGACTCTATTCTTTCAGGAATACTAATGCTACATTTGAGATTAAGATTATTAGAATTTTAAAAATGTCAGTAAAACAGTGCAACAGATGTTTGAACTAATGTAACATTAAGACAGTATAAAATGGTAGCCCAAATGGCTCAACCTCCATTTTCCAGCTACTAAATATTACTTCTTAAATTTATATTCAAAATGGTTCTTTAAATTATAGTTCCATCTGTATGTTTTAAAGAACAAGCTTGAGAGACAAAGTTTTGAGTTTGGCAGAGCCAAGCCTTACCAAGAAAAGAATTTGCTGAGAATGAAAGAATATATTATCAGATGGGTAACATTAATTTGATAGCACAAATATTTTAATGTTGTGTAAGTTAAGTCTGAAATTTCTGTTAAAGTTTTTATAGGACCATGTGCACACCTAGAAATAAACATCATTGTAACAAAATCAAAACCATACATATGTGACATGTGCCCCTGTATACAATAGCAGCATACACTATATTCAATTTCAGATTAGTATGGGTTCTTTCTAAAAAACATATTTCTTTGCTTATGAAAACAATTACAACTTATTAAAACACTCTGTGCTAATAGGCATATGACACGAAGAATAAAATGCCTTCTATAAGTAAGGACTATTTGTATTCAAGTAAAATATATCAAGATGTCCAAAGTTAATAAACAGACAAAAAAAGTAAATGAAAATTGCACAAGTTTGTTCATTATCAAGATGTATTTTAAATGAGGAAATCAAACCGTCCACTTTTTTTCTGATCTGATGAGCACATGATCCTGGGTCCTGATTATAATGGTCTTATTTTGGAGGCATTATGGTGTGGGAGGTGGTTTGGGAGATGGACAGGATCCTTGACTATCAAAACTGGTCGCCCGGCCAGGTAGCTGAAAGACAGTAATTTCATAACGTATGATCTAGTGTAAAAAAAATAATAAAGAAGGTAATTGTTCCTACTTTTTACTAGTGAATATTCACCCACAATATGTAAGTCTCTGAAGAAAAGATAAATGTAACTCTTCCTGCCCTTCAAAACTCACCTTCTTAGGTAGCATGAGGGGGCACAGACATGTCACAGAGATGTCGGCAGAGCACGGTACACAGATGGCATGCAGAGCGGCACTGTACAGGTAACGATTCATGACTGCAGATTCATGTCACATTGTAGGAGAGGCTTTAGTTCTTACCATAGTGGGAGGAATTACTTGGTAAAGGCAATAAGAGGTTCTAGACACAAGAGAACGCATTCCACTTACTCTAAGACAGGAGGTGATTTTTATAGGAGCAATTAATGAGACGAGAGGGGCTGAATTTGGCAAATGGGAGCCAGAAATGATGAAGAATAATTTCTCACAGTCCCTAAATATTATTAGTATTTAAAAAATTTAATTACAACAGAATAAACTTTTGATTATTTAGGTAGAAGTAATAAGATTTTCTAAATGATGCTTCAGTCTCTGTCCCACTAATTTACCCAGCTCTTGAATAATTGTTCCCTTCTCATTTTAATCCCTTCTCTGGCAACAAAACACATAATTACACACCCATCACTTTCCTACAATGCAAACTCCACCCAGTTCTTAGGTCTCCAGTCCACATGTTCCGTTTGACCAACGAGTGTATGTGCAAGAGTTGGAAAAAAGGAGCTATTTGCTGAGGAAAGCACATTTACATAATCTTTTAGTCCCACTTGTCCTCAGATACCTAGCTGCTAGAAAAATACCTGTAATCTTCTTCTGACATTCATATTGTAGCTTATTCTTCCTTTAGATCCTATAATGACTGAAAAATGTTCACATATTCTCAGACACAAACACATGGCTATTCTAATGCTTCCTTTTATCAGATAAATGTGTAACTGCTTATTAAACAGAGTCATAAGTATTTATAATATGGTTTGGGTCATATAACCCTTGCCCTTTCATTAGTTACAAGTCCTAGCACACATTGTCTCATTTTCCCCTATATATCACTCCTATATATCCCTATATATCACGCATTTCTATTTTCATTAAATATGGACAAATGTAGCTATAGACAGAGTAAGTGGTCTGCCCAGGATTAGACAGCCAGAGGAGCAAGAATTAGAACCCACGTCTCCCTTCAGTGTGGTTCTCTGCCCAGCAAACTTTACTCTCATTTTCTAGATTCTTAGAATTAGTATTCACTTTTCAAAGTTTAAAGAAAAACAAAGATGAGAACCAGGAAAAGGATAGTAATTGATTAATAGGCAGTAGAGTATACTTCATAATTCAGACAATACACACTATTGAAATGAAAGACAACCTTCCCAAGGCTCGTTGAACTGTTTAGAGAATACACCTGTCTATACTGCTGAAGCACTCGAGGGGGAAGTGCTGTGTGAATGTGCATTGCGTATGTGTCTGTCTTTTATGATCCACAGTAAATGATGAAGTGAGGTAAAGATTTGGAACATGTATATATATATACACACACATATGTGTATATGTGTGTGCATATATATATACAAGCAGATATCTTCTCTCTGATGACAGTTCATCTCTGTTGTCTGAGCATGCAATATTTATCCAATGTTCACCAAATTTTCCCTGTAACATTCTGAGTAACACAGACAGGTCACATTTTTGTCACTAAGCTAAGATTAGAACCTGGGCCCACTAACATTTAGTTATTTACACTGTACCGTGTCTTCCACTCAACCCAGTGCCTGGTGCCAGAACAAGAAGGAGATCTTACCCGTGGAGAGACAGCAATGTATCATCACTTACTATGTGGTTATCTTAACTATTTTTTTATTGCATTGCATCCTCTACTACACATCGTTTTGTCAACCCGCATTACCTCTCAATTAGTCAAGTCCTATGAATGATCTACTTTGTGACTCTTCAAGGGGCTCCAGCAATTGTCTTTGGGAAAGAACTCATTCCATCTAGCAACATTCAGTGTATCGAGTAGACTACAACTACATCATGGCTAAAAATCCTGATAGAAACTGGTATTGATGCTTCTTCTGGTTACTACAAGCATTAATATTAGTTTAATGAGAGCTAACATTGTGCCACACTCTGTGCTAAGCACTTAATATTCAGCACTTTATTTAGTTTTACTCTATGGGTTTACTCTGAATACAGAGTAATAGCAGACATTTAGAGAGATGAAAGCAACCTGCGCAAGGGTCTCCACTATGTAGTCAGATGGCAGAGCCAGGCTTCAAACTCAGGCAAGCTGATGCCGCAATATTTTAAAAATCTGTGAGCACTGTACTTCCTGACCAGAGTTGGGGGAGATTCACTTGTCCCCTTACATAGATGAGTTATATTAGGTGACAGTGCCTCTATTTAGATATTCTGGGGAACTTCAGGTGATGTGGCTGTTTTCACAAAAGACAGGCATCAAAATTTAGTTTCCAGTTAGTAGTAGATTTGCTCAATTTCTCCAGCACCCATTGATGTACGTTTTCAGGCTATGCAAAGAAAATAACAGACTTGCAGTTTTTATGGGCTTATTGTCCATAAAATCCATTTCCCTAAAATTGTCTGGGTGACAAATGCTCAATGGTATCTACCAGAAACCCAGAAAGTTTATGGGTTTTTAAAATCTAACAAGGCACACAGAACTTTGAATACTGGGTGACAGAATCTGCGGGACAAAACCAAGAGAAATGTCTGTCTTAAAAAAATAGGTGAACACGTAAAACGCCAGAGAAATGTTAGCAGACAAATAGCATCTAACCAAAAGAGATAAAAAAGAGAGCAGATGTCAGGGAACCACAGAGCTTACCTCCAGCAAGGGGTGCCAGTGTGTTATTGGTTTTCGGTGGTAGGCCAGCATTTCATTCCAGTGGTCTCGCCCAAGACCCTCAGCATCCAGGCCTGTTCTACACACTCCAATGACCTCATTGTGTCCTACCCTATGATTAGGAGAATATTATACTTTCATTCCACCATTCAAAGAAAAATGGGGTTTCACGCATCTTAGCAGAACTTTAAGCATATGATTAAAACACTAGACTTTGTGACAGGTTCGAGATGATCCTGCAGATTCAACTACTTCAGGTCAAATGAAAAACCTTAGTAAACTAAGATTTATTAAACAGGAGCAGCATTCAAAAATGAATCTGTAAAAGGAGCACACACAAAACATTTCAGTGCTCTGTCACTTGAGCACATTTCACAATCATAAGAATAGTGTGAATGAGAAATGACCTATATGATGAGTTTCTTTCTTGGAAGCAGTCTTAAGTTTAAGTGATGTAAATCCAATCTTGTTCTTTCCACAGGGCTTCATGTTTTATAGTGATGCTCACATTTCTCACCAAGAGCTCAATACCCACTTTCTTGTATAAATGACCACATTTAATTGACTCTAAATGGTACGTCAGTGAACATTACTTCTTGCACTGCAATTAAACCGGGGAGGGCTATGTTCAGTACCTTGGCATCTGATTTATTATCGCATAGCACCAGAGTACACTGAACAACATTCCCATTTTCTCTTCATGGCCTGTTTTCACAGCAACAAATCAAAATAATAATGATAGTTAATATTTTTGAGAGCTTATCATCTACCAGACAGTGTTCTAACTAATTTAAATGTATTGAGTCACGTAATCCTCACACCATGACCATGAGCATCATTATCATCTCATTTTACAGATAAAGAATTTAAACACCCAAAAGTTAAGGGACCCGCCTGCCTTGATACGCTTAATAAGAAGCTGAAGCAGGATTTGAATCAAGACAGCTGACTAAAACGCACATGTGGTAAATTGCTTCTGAAAAAGGAAATGTAATTTAAAGGCATTTCTATAGGTTATTTTGATAGACATCTCTAAGGAGACTTTTGAGGTGATTTTGGGACATTTCATTACTTTCTTCCTGTCACTGATGTAGATATGTATGTTTAGTATCATTTTTCTCTATATGAAGTTTCCCAAACAAGCATATTTTTAGAAATAAGTGGGGCATTTTTTGTTGCTTATTTGTACCTTCCTGTTTTATATATTATCAGAATCCATTTCCCTAAAATTGTCTGGGTGACAAATGCTCAATGGTATCTCCCAGTCACTCATGGGAGAAATCAACAGGAGTAATTTTTGGCAAAGACAACAAGGGCTTCTGATGAAAACATTACAACAGTTTTAGAGTTTGAAATTTGAACTAATTTACCATTTCTTTCTCTCTGGACAGCGACAGCTTTTTTTTTTTTTTTTTTAAATTGTGATATACACTAATTTCAAATAGATGGTACAAATCACTTTATTTTTTACTGCTTCATTTTGCTAGCTCTGAGCCAGAGGATAGCATATTAATTTCTCTAGGTTATACAATCCTGGTTACTACCACTCTATGATACTATAAAATGGACACTCTTTGATTATTTGTATATGTATGTTCTGTACCACTTGTATTACCACTAGAACAAAAAATGTGGTAAGGCACTGTTGACTTTGTTGACAATTTTGCAGGTTAAACATACAGTATTCCTTTCCAAAAAGTTTATAAATATAAAAAGCAAAAACTAACAAGAAGAGTTTAGCAAGGATCAAATAAGAGATATGAACCTTTAGCAGGACAAGAGTTCAGATGAAGAGGTTGGTTAGCTGAGAAAGACACAGAGTGTTAACTTGAGCAGGGCTGTAAAGCATGGTTGGGATGAGATACACAGAGCAGGCAGACAGCGTGACAGACAAGGGAAGAGTGGGAGGGTACAGGTAGGAGCTGCAGCAGTAAGAACTTTCCAAGCTGCACTTGGGAGCTGGCAATTAATTTTATGAAAGAAGTGATTCAAAGTGTGTGCGCTGGAAGAACAATCCACAAAGCAATGTTTAAAGATCGATGTGAAAGCATAAAGGCTGCGTCCCTATGGCCACTATTCACCTTCCACTCTTAACACTCAACTGTTCACAGTTCCATATCATGTCAGTATTTTACCAATGGGAAAAGCGAATCCCAAAAAGATTACATACCTTGCCCTTTCACACAGCTAGTTGATGACAGAGCTTGGATAAGAATCATGGTATCATATTCTATCCCAGTTGGGAAAACAAACTCTGTTGATTGTAATTTCAGTTGTTACTCTAAAGACTTCACAGTAGTGCTTTCTCTAATACATTCCATACTACTTCTGCACCCATCCTTTTACCATCCCCAGGGGTCCTGTCCTTCAACTTAAGAATGACTTCTTGGGGCTGGCTTGGTGGCACAAAGGTTAAGTGCGCACATTCCGCTTTGGCGGCCCCGGGGTTTGCCAGTTTGGATCCCTGGTGTGGACATGACATCACTTGGCAAGCCATGCTGTGGTAGGCGTCCCACATATAAAGCAGAGGAAGATGGGCATGGATGTTAGCTCAGGGCCAGTCTTCCTCAGCAAAAAAGAGGAGGACTGGCAGTAGTTAGCTCAGGGCTAATCTTCCTCCAAAAAAAGAGGAGGATTGGCAGCAGTTAGCTCAGGGCTAATCTTCCTCAGGAGAGAAAAAAAAAAGAATGACTTCTTTTGGAAAATAAATAATAAATATTATCACATGGAAAAAAATGAATTTTGAACGAATAATTCTTCCCTCTTATAATTCACTCTTTTTTTCTTTTTGCAGGGGAAGATTTGCCCTAAGCTAACATCTATGGCCAATCTTCCTCCTTTTTTCTCCTTTCTCCCCCAAATCCCCAGTACGTAGTTGTGTGTAAGTTCTTCTGGGTCTTCTCTGTGAACTACTGCCACAGCATGACTACTGACAGACAAGTGGTGTGGTTTTGTGCCCAGGAACTGAATCCATGCCGTTGGAGTGGAGTGTGCTGAACTTTAACCACTAGGCCATCAGGTCTGGCTCTTCCCTCTTCTGATTTAAATTGCTGTAGCAGTAAACAACCTAAAAAGCTAAATTTGGTCTGCAAATGACTAAACATGGCTGCTCTTCAGTGAGTAGAGAGATACACATACCTATCATAATCCATGACGGCAATGGAGAGGCTGACCTGGTCCACATTCTCCGGAGGGATGTCAAAAATAATGGCCTCATTGTACACAGGGTTTAGAGTGTTTTTCTTTGTAGTTGTTTTCCTCTTTTTTAATCTTCGACCCTCACACATCAGAGACACTTTGACATAAGGATCTAGGAGCGGGAAGGTAATTTATTCAAATGAAAGCAACAGTAAAAAGCATAAACAAAACTGTAGTGAATTGTTACTAAGTAAGAAAAGCGGTATATTAAGCCCTTTAGTAGTACCAGTTTTAAATTCAAATGACTTATCTGAGGGAATAGACTGTCTAAGACTTCTCGCTTTAAAAGGAAGCACTTACCTTCAAGGAACTAGACAGGAATTAACTTGATCCCACTGTTTTTAATACAACGGAGAAAACTCACTAGTTTATCATGAGCCAGTCCAGAACTATAATGTGTCTTTTAGTCACAGCTATTTGAGGACACATTTTGTTAGAAGTGATTTCTAGGGAATGTCAACCCAACAAGCCAGAATAATTGTACTAAAGTTAATTTCTTTCAAAATGATTTAGAATAAGAAGACTAAAACTTGTGAAAGAGCAACACCGAATATGAACAAGTATACATAACCACAGTGAGTAGAAATTAGAAAGCAAAAACTATGCTAGAATTTTCTTCAGTTGTTGGAAAGGTACCAAAATGAGATGTTTCATTTTATAGTCACAGCATCAGCATTGATTCTCGATCAAGAGCTCAGACTAAAGAAATGATCACTACAAATAATTTATTAAACGCTCAACAGTATACAATAAAAAAGGCAATATTTGGCTTAAAGATGGCCACAAAGAAGTTTCCTGATATGACACTGTCTATATGATGCCAATGGAAAGAGAAAATTTAGTTGGGCTATATTTTCATGGGTAAAAGGGATCAAGTAATTGTGAACAAGTTCTGCCCCACCTGACTGATCTCTACTGCCTTAAGTAGGAAAAGTGTTAGAGTATTACAGAAAATTACATAGTATTATACAAAAGTTTCTTAAAGCCTTATTTTTTGTACCTTTATTAAAAAGGAGGCATAGCTTTGGGAGGGGGTGTTAGCATTGGGGTGAGTATGGTAGACGGTTAAAACAATCAGTGTCTGCTCCATCCTCATTCATTTTTTTTTTTTCTCATTCTGGTCACCCTCCAACTCTAGCACCACTCCCTCTTTCTCTCTCTTTCCATTGATGTAGTAATAAATCTATTTCTTTAGAATAAGCCAAAATCATGGCAATATTGATTTCTTTGAGCAAATGAATGCTTTTTAAGCTCTAGAAAAATGTATCTGTATATTTCATGAGCATTTCCACCAAGGGGCAAAAACATATTTTGTGGGTAGGAAGAGGGTATGGACAGGAAAACAAGGTGAAAAGGCAATGTGCAATGGCTGTTTCTCATTTATTTTTCAATTTTTTAAGAATAGAAAGTATGTTCTAAGGAAGAAGCTCACTTTTGTGATCCATCTTTGTGTATGAGCCCCAGGTCTAGGTCCCTTATTAACAATGGGAATGAGGCCTGCTTTATCCTTTGCTGCCCCCATCTTGTCTCTCAGGACATCTCTCTTCTCGTGACAAGGATAATTTACGAGCCTGTTGTGAGAATTAATGAGGCAGTGTTCTCAAAGCATGCACTCCTCTGATGAAAAGTTTGATATAAATAAAAAGTAATCTTGCACTTAATTACAACTTTGATGCTGTTTCCTTGTCTCAAAATCTGATCTCTTTTGGTACATGGTAGGAAGAGTAGAATAAACAATAATTTGCAGAGTACACTGTTTATCTTAATTTCTTCAACATTGTTGACCCAAGACTTTTTCACCAACATAAATGTGGAATTTACTTGCTTTCTTTCCACCTTTATATATCAACTATGTATTGCAAATTTTAAAAAAATGAATTGGTAAAACATGACAGAGTTCAAGAATTGAGATGGTAAAGATGTAGAATGAGAAGTCTCCCTCCCATCTGTTCCTATACTGCTCCACTCTTTAGTTTTTGCATATCACTCCAGTATTTCTTTATGCGAATATTAGCAACATAAACACGTATTCTAAAAATCCCCATTCTTACACAGAAGGGAACATGATATCTATACTTATTTTTGTACCGCATTTTCTTGTTCATTTAGTATATCCTGAAGCTCTCTCCACACTGGAACTTAGAGTTGTCTGATGTTTTTTGTAATACAAATTTAGTTTATTATTTTTTTTGTTCCAAAGAACCACAAAATTACAGATGGTAGCCATGTCATCCTTTACTATACCTCCACTATTTCTTATTTCTGTTTAATTCAACAAATGTTTACTGACCTCTTGACTCTGCCCTCATCATTTTTTCTTCCACAGAGCTATGCCAAAGTGCACATACTAAGTTATAATCATTCAGAACTGTAGTGATTTAAATGAAGGGATAAAAGAGCATGATGTGGCTTTATCTCTTTATCAAAGTTAGCACAAGAGGAATTTCCTTCAAGAATGTCTTTAAGAAACTTTAGGAAGCATTCATTTACTTTATTATTTCTTTCAGTCCCTAGAGTTGGCCCAATGAAAGGTGGCAAGAATGTAAGTGCAAATGGTGATGTTAGAACATGGATGGTTCTCTGCAGATTAGGTGAGAAAAATAAATTCAGTCTAAATATATCTTCATACGGCCCTCACACGTAGAGTAATGCAAGTTTGAAGTGAATGGCTTAAAGTCCAAAAATCTTCCTTTATAAGCAACAGACTACATAGCAATAGAGAAGTGGATGGAAAATTATACATTTTTGAGAAAGAAAGAAATCTGTAGAGAAAGAAAGAAAAACCCAAGTTCAGAGTCAATCTATTTGACACATTACATGATAATGTAAATAAAAGAGGTGATCTAAAGAACTTCAGTTGGCAATCTCTTTTTCTACTTTTATTGTACCCCACTACAGACAAATGAACTCAAGAATTCAGTAGCCAAATAATCTTGGAGACATGGAATATTTTATTTGGGAATGTATTCTTGACACACTAGCGAATTGTGCACATACCTGATGAGCCAGTAATATCCATAGCCTTCAGATTTCTGCACTTGATGACTGTCAAGGTCATACGTCCAGCAGTTGGCAAATAACAAAGGGAAAACATGATTTCACCCAGGTCTATGCTTTCCTAGAAAGGCAATTGGTAATTTAGTAATTTCAAGTATCAGATAGTTAAAACAAAATATAATTGAAGATGAGTGAAAAAATCACTTTAATAGAGTATTTGAATGTCATTTTTAAATTGTTTTATTGAGGATAAAGATAATGTTGCAAGAAAGCTGTTCTAAACAGAGTAAGAAAAAGAGAATATATCCCAGCTGCTTATTTGACGTCTCCACTTGTATTTCTAACAAGAATCTCAAACTTAATATAAGCACCAGACTGCTGATTCCACTCATTCCCCATCATCTTCCAAAACCAATTCCTTTGTCAGTCTTTCCAAAATCAGCAAATGGTATCATAATTCACTCAGAGGATGGAGCAAAAACCTAGCACTCACTTTTACTCTTCTCTTGCCCTCACCCCTACATTGAACCCTTATTTTGTCTATACTCTCTACGAAATATATCCCAACTTAGTCACCTTCTCTTTAGCTCTATTATTATCATTCAAGCCACTATCATCTCCTGCCAAGATTTCTTCATTAGCCTCTAAAAATGATCTCCCATCTCAGAAGCAGCCAAAGTGATGGTTTATGAAATGCAGATCAAGTTATTTCATTCTCCTGCTTAAAACCATCTAAGGGCTCACAATTATACTGGAATAAAATTCAAACTTTTTACCCTGGCATATAAGTGGGGTAACTATAAATTCTGGTGTATCTGGAAAATTCCAGATTTATATCTATTGTCCTGGTGAATTACTAAGAACATTTCCTTCCATTCTTAAATATGTCCTTTGGACAACACATTACAAGGTTGTACATATAAGACCCCACATGATCTTGACCCTACCTATTTCTCTAACTTTATGTCTTGCCTCTCCCCTTCAGCTCATCAGATGCAGACACAAAAAAGCCTTTTTTCTGTTATTCAAACAAGTGAAATTTGTTCTTGCGTTTGGCCTTTGCATTTTCTTTCTTCTCTTATCTCCTTACATGGCTGACTCCTTGTCACCATGCAGCACTCAGCTAAAACAGTACTTCCTCAGTGACGCCTTCCCCCGTCCTATCTTACTCCACTTACAGAGCCTTCACATTTTTTCATAGGACTTATCATTGTCAGAAATTATCTTTCAAATTTATTTTTTGCTTCCCTGACTCCCATATATAAGGCCCAGAAGAGCAGGCTTTTTGTCTTATTTTTACATCCTCCTGAAGTGTCTGGTACATAGCTGGCTCTCAGCGCATATTTTTTAAGGAACAAAAAGATTATTAATTAATCTGAATAAAAGCTGACCTGATTTGATTCACTTGTAAAGTTGAACCCTTCATAGTGCCCTGATATAGATATGCTTGCTGTCATTGGCTCCATAGATGGTAGACAAATGAAAATAACTGTGAACAAGGCAGATTTAAAATGCTTCTCAAAGAGTTGTTTACAGGATTCAATCAAATCATTCCTAGTAAGACAATCTGTGGTAGATTTAATTTGGGGGGAAATAAGTTGAAGTCTGTAGGACTAGATTCTTAAAAATTCTTCATAACGAACTAACATTTATCGGACTTACTCTTACAACTCATATTCCGATTATGTAATTCCCCTTTCTTGATTGATGGTCTAAAAGTAATAGAGCCTAGTAATTCAGAGTACAAACTTTAGAGCCAGTTAGGCTTGGCTTTGACTACTGTTTTCTACTCACTAGCTATGAGATCCTAGGAAATTTAATTAAGCTTTGAATCTCTCAAACTTTATTATCAAGTTGAGGGAAATAGCCACTTCACAGGAGTTGTAAGTAAGCATTAAGTGAGATAACGTAAATAAATCCCAAGGCACTTAACACAGTGTCAGGCATACGATAAAGGATGCTGTTTTGTTCATTGCTGTATTCTAGCACATGGAGCAGTGGCTTACACATATCAGGTGCTCAGTAAGTACTGGATAAATGAAAAAAGCAATCAAGGGAAGCAATTACTATTTTTCAAGAAAATTTAGAAAAAAATAAATATTTTAAAACAAATGTACATCCAACTGAGTCTCCTCTGGGTTACCGGATTGCTGCAGACACAAAATAGTGAGCAAGATTCAACAAGAGAGGCCAGAGGAAAAACAGGAAGAGCACAAACTCCTACTAAGGATTCCTTCTTTTCCCTACCACGCAATTATTGAGTATTATTTGCTGGGTGCGGTGGTAGTACTGCAGACCTGGGGGTAGACATGGCATGAGTCTGCCCTTGAAGATCTAGGTTGAGAAGGAAGATAGTAGGCTGTCAAGAGCTAAGAAAGTAAGTCTGAATCCCACATTTATTGATGATTTTTTCCTTGTTTCTCTTGCTATCACTTTTTCCAAGTGCTTCTTTAGGCTCAGTCTATGAGCTGAAGTTTTCTGTCTGGCAGCCATCCCCCATTCCCTCACGGGGAGCTATCAATAAGAGTAGGTGTATTTTGATGCCAGCTGGTAAAAATTAAGAAATCCTTGGGGCCGGCCCAGTGGTGTTGCGGTTAAGTTTGTGCACTCTGCTTCAGTGGCCTGAGGTTCGCCAGTTTGGATCCCGGGCGTGGACCTACACACTGCTTATCAAACCGTGCTGTGGCAGGCATCCCACATATAAAATAGAAGATGATGGGCACAGATGTTAGCTCAGGGACATTCTTCCTTAGCAAAAAGAGCAGGATTGGTGGCAGATGTTAACTCAGGGCTAATCTTTCTCAAAAAAAAAAAATTAAGAAATCCTTTTATGAACGTAGAACAAGATACCAAGTTCCACCAAGAAACATAGTAGGGGTGGTGATGGAGAAGGTAGGGAAAAGATAGGAGACAGCATTTCAGGCATGAAATGCTTAGAATCCAACAGGAACTGCAACACATGCAAACAAAAAAAGTACACAAACAGGCAGGTAAAGGGATTAGGCAATAAAACATACTTTCGTTTGTCTGACTAATATGGTTTTACTTCACACATCAAGAATCTCTGGAAGGAATTTTTCTGCTTCTCTAAACACATCACACGCTTCCTGGCTGGGACAAAGAAAGCTTCCTGTTTGGTCCCATCTCTCAAAGACCCTTTCTGCGGATCCAGTTGCAACATAATTTTGACCATCTGTTATTAATATTTACTGGTAAATATAAAGAGGCTAAACTGAGGAGTTAACTAAAGTGCTAGATCAAATAAAACTGAAAGCAAAGAACATGTTTAAAGGACATTTCGGAGCAGCTCTGAATGACACGCTAGTTGCCATAGGCTTTTTGCCTATTGCAGCAGTAAAAAAATCTACTTAAATATTCACACTCTGTGTAGTCAGGAATTTTAAGGAAGCGGGAAGAACTAGGGGGTGAAAATAATGTATAGTATGCATGCGTAATAACCGCACAAAAGTTTGATTCTTCATTAGACTAAATTTTTCCTTTAGGCAGTACGAATGTGAAAGAATTAAAACTGCCTACATACTGAAAAGGGCAGGATACTCTCTAAGGTAAATACCAATATTCTTCAACTTTTTAAATCTGGAAGCGATCTAAGAGATAGCCATGAGAAATGAACTTAATGAAGGTAAATGGCTGTATGACCTTAAAATAGGTCCTATAACAGATGTAACAGCAGAACTCTAGGTTTTGGCTGCAATGCTCTGTGCGACATTGTACACTAATTCTCGTTACCCACCACGGAGTCTGTCCCTGTATTGATGGCCCAACTCCAGGGGGCAGGTTGAGTTTTAATTGCTGCCTCTTCTCTGTCTGCCCCAGACCACTGCAGTTTATAAGACCACACTCAGCCTCCATAATCTGAACTCTCTGGTGCCCGTGAAAGAACCAGGAAATAAGCTGAAAGGTCTCTGGACATCCAGAATAAATATTAAAAGTCATGCAGTAAAATTCTCTTATATAAGGAGACTACATCATATCTTATTAACACCCATTTACTATTATTTTAGACAAAATTCTAACAAGAATATTTACTTGGTACATCAATCTACAGCAGGTCGAGACTCACACATGACATGTGGAGATGGGGAAACTGACAGCAGCAGATCTAGTGAAGGCTCTAATAAACGATAGCTGCAAAGACACGACATACGAAAAAGAAGCAAATATTCTAAAAAGGACAGCAGTCTAGAACCTTTCTGTACTAAGAGGAACTGACACTAATAATGTCTCAGTAACTTAAAAACTTATTTTATTACGGACTTGAACAGTAATTAATATTCTTTTTTTTTTCTGCTTTATCTCCCCAAACCCCGCCTGTACATAGTTGTATATCCTAGTTGCAGGTCTAATTAATATTCAAAATGATGACTCTGAGTCATCAAGATAAGGAAAAATATCCTGTATGTTCTTTTTAAGAAGGTAGAGAAGCGTACACTATGTTTTAGAGTTATTTTCATTCAAAATACTTACAATGTTTGAAGTGGTAATTTTGGCTTAAAATGAGAATGGCTTTGAGTTTTTGAAAATTTTATTGATTTTCAGAGACTGCACATTTGATTTCTTCATCCTGGCTCCACTGACAGAGTTGGATAGATAAAGATCATTTTCTGATGACTGGGTATTGTCAACAGTTATAAAGTTTTTTCCAGGTATTGTTTCTCCAAAATAAAAATAAAAGTCCTTGGAAAGATAAATTGATATGCATTAGTTGCATAGCACATTCTATTTCAGGACTAACTGAACCAGTAGTAAATCAAGCCATAGAAACTGAGTGTAAGCGATGGAGAGGAGGCAGATTAGAGGTTCTATAACTAGAGGGTAGGATAACCAAGGGAAGGACTCCTGGATGAAATAATCATTACATTGGGGCTTGAAGGACTAAAGAAACGTGATTTCACAGGGAAGAAGAGGAATAACACAAGTGAGCACTATGATTAATACTCAGATATAAGAATGAGCAGTTTATGTTGAGAAATATGGAGCTGGTGACTGTTGGAGGAGGTTTAAGGCCAAGTGTAGTTTTTTTGGCGGCTTCTATGGGCAATAGGGATCCAAAGGTGTTGGTGACATGAAGAGTGGAAGCTTGGCAGAGTGCCAAGGGCA